CAGTTGAAAGTTTAACAGTTCACGAACTTACGGACTTATCTTTATTGTCCACTATTATCGTTTTTTTTTGTTTATGTACAAGTATTTTGGTCACTGTTCATTCGCCATTTGTCAAATTGAAAGCAATTTGGTGGTCGATTATACCTAATAGAAAAAATAGGTATGTTCAAGAATCGAACTAAGATCAGTCAAGAACGGTTCTCATTGCAGCTTCAAAATTTGTATTTGCTTTCTTAAAGCAAATTATGAACACCATGGTAGATGTTTTCCGCATTTTCGAATTGGCATAATTTGACGGGCTTTGAGCTAAAAGTTCTGTTGTAGAAGGCCCTAATTCTCGAAAATATGTATATAAAAACACACTTAATTTAAACTCTTCCCCAGAATCTTGTTAATGACTAACCGGCCAACTGTACCAACTAATAATATACATGGTTAAAGGAAGCAGCTTTATTTTAATCAATAAGCGTTCAGCGATTTTAACTTTGATATTATGGTATGTCGATATTGTTACTGATGTAGATCGTTATGTAACCAAAGAGTACCTTACAGCTATAAATTAACCATGGGAAATCACTAAAACTTGGGCTCTTTTAAAGCTCGAATGTTGTGTAGTGATTACTTTATTTCAAAGGTGCATGTAAGTACACCAAAGCGTATGAGTAACGTTATAAGTGTTTAATGCTGATTGAAATTCAGACTTAAGCTGTGCAGTAATTCTAATTGTACTATTGTATTTTACATTTTTGGGTTCGAAAAAATTACCTTTGAAGGTGACTAGCAATTTTTATAAGATTGTTTTAACATACATTTTCTACAATAATATGCAAATGTAATATTATACATATCCATATAACTTAACTAAAATATATTCAAAAATCATTGAAAAATTAAAATGTTATAGGCTGAAATTGTTTTTGACTCATATTTCGTTTCTTTCTATTTCATATAAAAATAATACCAAAATTTCTAATTAAATTTTTAAATAGTTATTTTGTTAGATGAGTTTTTATTGCGTGAGTACTCTTAGACATAATCTGAAACTTGGTAGCCTTGCCATGCATCGCTCAGTGCAAGTTGCCAATGACTGCGCAGTGGTGCAACAGTGAGTACTTAAGCACACACACCCACATTTTTATATGAATAGCTCCACACACACTTGAACCGCTTGTGTGCCCATAACACAATATACAATTACATATACAATTTTGCATATGCAAAAATATGGAGGCGCACAACCACTAACATATGACCATGCTTATGAAATATATACATACGTACATGCATATTAGGGTGTCCGTTATTTCACTAAGTTTATTATTTTTTTTTTGTGCTTACTTGCCCTGAAGTTTCAGTTTTTATTAAGTTAAAAATTTTTCCAACGTTAGCAAGTTCTTTATTTTCGATTTAAACCGTGCCCAAATCATTTTACTTTTCCCATGTATTTACCATGAGTTTAATCTTTTGTATTAAGCAAATAAACCTACAACTCTAAAAAATAATATTTTAATATAAAAATTTACTCTCTACAAAAAAGTTCTTAATACATTTTTCAATAAAAAAAATTCGTTTAGAAGTCAAATGTACTGCTTAAATTGAGTGCAATCGTAAAAACTGAAAGTTAGGCGTTAGCAAAAAATATCAACTTTGCAGCTAACAGACACCCTAATGCATATGCATGAAAGTGTCTGTATAAGTATACAACAACTACGAGCGCACATGCATACGCTTACAAAAGTTTGTGAATTTGCATCATTTTTTCCGTGGGTTTTTACGCTTGCGCACAAGTGCACATCAATTGGTTGCATAAAAAGTGCAGAGCAGCAAAATGCACAACTTTCTTTGTGTCACTCTATATTACAGCCTGCCACTTGCATATTCATGCACGCAAACACACGCACACACACGCCTATGCTCTTGCTTTACGCATAATCTCACAAGCGTCTAAGAGGACCACATATCGTTGGTGAAACTAGTAATAAGGCAACGGCTGTCGAATGCCATACTTTCAATATGCTTACATTTGTGTACGGCTGTATGTGTTGTTGTATGACAAACGTCGAACTTTTCGTTGCGTTCACCCACTGCACGACTGCCATCTTCTGATTCGCTTGTAACACAGTTTTCAAGCCCCAGCACGCAGACTACAATCCTTTTACACTAACATTTGCACTACTTACATACTTTCAAGTTGAATATGTTTGTTTTTGTACTTTTTGTTTGTAATCTTTTTTTTTAGTTTTAGTTTTGGATTTTTATTTGTTCTTGCACTACTTTTTCGCTTCATAAAATATAAGTACCTTACAGGTGAGTATGTCGATTGTGTAAAGGGCGCAGGGTAGGTAAATGTGTGGGCAGCTCAGAAAAGTACTAGGCATGTGCATATGTAGTAAAATGATCCATGTTTTGCATACCAATTTTGTTTTTTACTTCACCAAGTGCTTAAACTTAAGTTGGCTTGTTTGCATTTCCCTTTTTATTGAATAGAATAAAAAACTTCAACAAAAACTAATATGTGGAAAACGCCGCAAATATTCAATAAACCATGGTTTTTATATGTATTTAACCGTTCGTATTTAAGCGGGAGAAGTTTTCGATTATATGAAAAAATGGAAGAAACTTGAGAAATTACCTACATTTTAATGTTTTCTCGGACAACTTAAATCTAATAACGAATGTCTTTAAATGAAATATAAAAGTACGAAGCTGCATTTCTAGTTCGGAAAGTACGCTATTGTAGTGATATTTTATATAGAACATATAAAAATAAACTTACCTTTGCAAATGGATGATATTTGGATCGTTGATATTAACATTTCTTTCACTTGTCTTCTCTTGTAGTCGAAGAGTTACGTTAAATTAGTAGATTTATGCGGTAAAACATAAATTTTAAGACTCAATTGCAATATGTACGGTTGAAAGCATAAATATCTACTGCCATATCTGAAAAAAAACACGTTTGTCCTGTCAATAGTGGGCGCACCTATAACGTATACCAAATAATTTTAGAACACCGAAAACTGCATATCTCTTTTTAGTTTGGGCAGAGTTGTGAAGCTTGATTGAGGGAAACTAAAATGTGTACAAATGTAAAAAGTATAAAAGCAAATATTTATTACTTATTCACGTACTTTTACATAGGTAGTTTATCAGCTTTAATTTTGCTTTGCCTTTATTCATGGCATTCATCCATCGCATACTTTGTGCGCTTAGACAAACTTATTTACTTTATTTTCAATTTAAATATTATTTAACTTTCCCTTGCTGTTGTACTGTTGTACACACACTAACACTAGGCATATTCTCTATTCCATTTCTCTTCATACAACTTGTTTACGCGTATTTGTCTTTGTGATAAGCGTATGCTATTGAGCAAAAGAATTCCACTTTCAATAAAAGCGACTAGCTCTTCTTGTTTCTTTGTTGTCTAATACCTCTTCCTACTCATTTGGAAAAGTTTTAATTCCATTTCTTAGCTACAAGAGAATCTTCTAACAATCGAGGACATTGCAGCTTACAACCCTTTGGTATGTGACACTATGCTTTATTGCATTGCTCCGTGTTATGTGTGAAGTCATGTGGAAGAATTCGCAGATAAAAAGTTGAATTAATTCAAAGTAAAAGCTTGTTGCAAAACACTGTTTTATAATTGCTACTTTTAATTTAATATAAGAAGTAAATATCTTTTTGTCAGTACTTTTGCAAGGTGCCTGAGATTTTAGAAATGCTCTTGTGCATGCTAATCTTAAGCACAATTGCTGAGATAACTACGCCTATATCAATCAATTTAAAAGAAGGGAGAATCGAGACACTCGTAGGTAATGCATTATCTCGACGTTATGATCCTCACTGTTTTCAAACATACCATTGGCAAACCCGGCCGAACGTAGTTATTCTTTATTATCTTCAAAATCAAAAAAGAGGCTGTATTCTTTGAATAAGAATTTAAGGGTTTTTATAAAATTCTACTTTTGGAACTGCCTCGTGACTTTTCCCTAGTTTCTCATACAAAGATTTTTAGTATTAGCTCTTAACTTGACCACCACAAGAACAAAGTTATCAAACGATTTCAGATTATTTAGATACTAATAAGCTTACACAATACTTATTCCAGAAAAGGCATTTGTCAGCAAGCTATTTCATAAAAAAATAGTTGTTATAATTTAATTAACTTTCGCTCTGTATTTTTAATAACCCATATATTTTGATGCCATCTTCATTCTTCTGTTCATATAACTGTGCCGCTCGTGCCTGTGTGCCTATAAAATAAGTTTCTTCCAACGTTATAGTTTTATAATATATTTATTAAACTAGTTATATAATACTTCTATAGATTCTGTGCAACGTGGAAGGTAGTAAGTCCTCACCGCGTTGAGCTTCTTTGTGAGGAGGGTGAAGTTGGTTTTCCTCATCAATACAAAATTCATATGTATGCTATATATCGGGATTCTTTGAACTGTGACTTTTGCGTTGTTGCATCAATGACATCATTATCCTTTTTAACCTTTTTATATTTCCTGAGTTTAATTAAATCGTCACCGAACTTTTAATACGTAACAATTAAATGAAAAAGGGTGTATATATCAGCTGACAAACAAAAACACCTTTAAATCGATAAACATTGCATTATTACTGTTGGTCTTGATCGAAATGAACATGAATTGCAAATTTATTTAATATATGCACGCTTATGGTAGCCAGTGTGTACAGTAGAGCAAATATTTCTTTATGAAGCATACTATATATGACAAGCGCACAGCGTTGCATCGAGCAAAGGAAGTTTTACACGCATACATACACATTGTCGACAGCTTTATTATGCATTTTTAATACTTTGGCTCTGGTCTCTCAGCCGAACTGTCAACAATTTCTCGTAGAGTGGCTCAATCGCTCGCGCATACATATACGTAAATGTATGCATACGAGTATAGACCTTTACGCCCACCACTTTGTATGTTGTAGTTTTAATTACATATTTCTTTATGTTTGTTCAATTTCAGGTGGGCAACTTGGCTAACGATGGCATCAAATTGGCGACTGGTTCGAAAGAGCGCCGCTGCTCCATGTCACCACATGACGGGCTCGAGGAGGAGGCACGCGGTGGTACCCTACGCGCATTGTGGACACATGGCGGCCCAACATCAGCATTTGTACACATCGTCATCGCTGTATGTTTGCTGTTGCCGCGCCTACTCTTGGAGGCTAGAATAATTGAAAACGGACTGCTGCCAAGAGGTAATTACACAACGTACCAACTTCGGCCCAACGCCGTTCAAATCAAACGAAGCCAAAAACCAAAACCAAAGTGTAAATGTTGTCACGTCAGCGCGTGTTGACTGTTGACTGGTGGCTGGTTGACGGACTATCCGACCAACTGATTTTCTCAGCTAATAGATACATACGCTACATACATACGAATTTATATTACATACATATCTACATTAGGCTCTGCACGTATATACAGTAAAGGGAAATGGGGAGGCGTGTTTCAGTAATATAAAACAACGTATGCCGAATATGTTCGAAATAGGCCGTTAAATTTATGTGGTTCCTAAATTTTATCGCAGACTTATGCTAAAAAAGTTTATAGATTATAAAATGCGATTATATACAGATCAGTGTATACATTTCCCTTTCCCGGGTACACCCAATAAAGTGATTTTCTCATTTGACTGTTGCTCGAAAATTCCGCGAAAGCTGTCATAAGTGCTGTCACATCGGCCACAGTGGCTAATACTTCACTCATATAAATATATATCTATGTCTATAATGTGAATTCATTTAGTGGTTGGATACTTAAATCTTTTTAAATTGAAATTAATTGTTTATAATGTTTGCACTTTTATGCGCTTCATCAATTGTTCGGTTAATACCAATTTAATTAAAATTACTTCTGATAGTTTTTACAAGCGTGTCGGTCGATAATAATTTTATTTATATATTGCGGTTATGGTGTATACTTGTATATATAATTTCTCGAATTTCTCTAAACACAAAGTAAAAAGTCAAAACTTGATTTTGTGCAGTTTGGAGAAAACACTTTGACACTTTCATTACAGTAACTAAAAAGTGAAATTGGTGTTACTAAAGTTTATACCATTATGTAGTAGATATTGCATTTGCGTGTGAGAGAGTGTCTTGCGACATATTTATTTCTGTGTTTAACTCAACTTTTGCAGTTTTGCTGGGTAGCTGCGATTTATGTGTAATTTTTTGTGATATTATAACTCTTTAACGTCGATTTAACATGAATATCATTGTTGCCAGATTGCTTCACATTTACCACTATTGTTTAAATAATTAATTTTAATTATTGTTTACTTTCTGGCTTATTGTTACTCTTTCCGTTTTTTTGGTTTTTTTTTTTACATAACAGCCTTATTCACTCTATAAAATTTATTTTCATATTTCATTTCAATTACGAGCTGTCAAACAATAGTTGCATATTTTTGGAAAATATATACTGACTTAATATTGAATGGAAATTTTGTGTAAAAGTAACTTTAATAATATTAAAAAAACGCTTGAATTGTAACCGGAGATTGGGCCGAAGTTTTCATTTGATATTAGTTGAGCACATTTGTGTTGACCTATAAGCGGCAGGTCGTATACAAGTTACTTTTTCTATTATTTTGTGTGATATTTTTATTAACTATAATGGGTCAATAAATTTTGGAATATACGAATTTTGGATTTAATTTTAACTGAGTTTGAAACCAAAAACCATCGACGAGGTAATCACACATACGATTTCGCCAATCGCTTAATTTAATTAGCCAATTGAATTATAACGCTGCCATGTTAAATAACGGTAATGAAAATAGCATTCAGTGAAGCGCCAAATTGTGGTTTGCTTTGATCGCTCGTTTGTAAATTCAATTGTTTGAATATTTTTTGATCAAGTCGCCAGAATATTGCTGTGTGGTGACGCTAATATAATTTTTTTTTAAAACTGCTTAAAGTACAACATTTGAAATTTTTAAATTTGAAATTTTCTTAATACTAAATAACCAATAATGATATGTGTTACTTAAAGCAATATAAAATTTGAATATTTTGAGTAAATGTATACATTTTTAATATTGTACAATACGTGACTATTAATTAGTAAGACAGAAAATATTAAGTAATTTGCTTTTAATTTTATTCCTGGTGTTTCTTCATCTCATTCTATGCATACAACCTGTATCTTCACAATTAGACCATTATTTCAACACTTCGTTTTCGATTTTTCTTTCGGAGTTGAATGTCGAAGCTAGAATTCTTGGATTTAAGGCTTTGCATATTCTTGAAGTTCATAAAAAAAGTGTGTAAAATTAGCTCCTAAATACTGTCTTCTCTTATGCAACTTATTATCTTTGTTCCGTTTCGTGGATATTTTTATAATTTTAAGGTCCAGTTTGCTGTAAAAATCGTATAGTAAAATTTCTATTTTTGAGAAAGCGATTGAGGAAATTCATTCGTTTATTGATTTCTTCGACATAAATAGGTGAGGCAATTAAATTGGAAATTATCTCAAGTAAAATATAATTATTTAATTATTAAGGACCCTTGTTCAACGATTTTCTTTTATTGAATTCTATTATGCTACTTTTGCATAACGGCTTTTAGTTCCATTTATTTTCAATCAAAAACTCATTGCTTTATTTTATGTTAAATTCACCAAAAGTTTATTGAAAGTAACTATACGATTAAAATTTACAGTTGTGCTCTTCAATATCAAATAGTAGCTTTATATGAGAATCTTAGCTATGTCTAAAATCTGGTTCGCTTTGATCGGAGAGCTATAAAAGTATCCATGGTTGAATTTATATTTTTCAAAATAAAAGTTGATTTTTTGGTCTCTGCTGCTTAAGGTTTCTAAGACGAAATTTAAATTGTAGACTTCCGCGCTCGCCTTGTATACTCTCCGTTCAAACCAAATTCGTGGCGAACTTTCGTTTTCAGCGATGCTATTCACTTTTCACATAACTCAAACATAACCTATGTATAGTATTAAGAAAATTAAATATGTTTATTTATGCTTGTAGTAGCTAACATTTCTACAACTCCATTTAAAAACATTATTGACCACTAAATGTATATATACACACAGATTTACACGCGTTATCCGATTGACTATACGTCGGCTTTAACCACTTTAGTTTTCCCAAATCCATTAAGTTTATGAGCCAATAATCAATTTGAAGACGCACCACTTAAAGAAGACACTCAACTGCTGTAAACGAACGAATGCTTGTTCATGGAAGAAGAAAATAACAAATTAAGTGCCCACTTCAGTCATTGAAGGAGTAATAAATAATTAATTTTGGCCCATTTTTAGCGAAAGCAGCGCGGCGTAATGGGAAAAACGTCGTTTAGTAGACATAAAACAGTTATGCCAACATTAGGAGCACACACATACATACACATGAGAGCGTAGCGCCCAAAATGCAAACAAACTCAAGGAAATCACAAAGATTTTCTAAAATTCTAGAAGAAGAGCAAACCATTCACGGCAAATTAAGGCGGTGCTCAGCTGTGTAGGTGTTATGGCTGTTGGGGTGCTGCACGGTACAGCCTGAGCTTGTGCAAATATAATAAAACTCTTATCATTATTCATGCTAAAGACTTAACGAGTTTGTTCGCGCACACATTTAACTTTTCTCTAGTTGCCACGACCTGCGTCAGCAGCGACGCTTTTGCGATTTTCTTAAGCAATAAGCCAAATATACTTACCACGTACAAGTATATACATATGTACGCATGTATGTGTGGAATTTTGTGAATTCCTCCAAATCTAGGATGTCTCGGCTTTTACAGCTTGATGCTCTGTTGTCAGTTACATATACATGACAACGAGTGAGTTTCTATATATCTATGTGTATGTGTGTGTTTTCTTTGTTGCCTTGTCACTCTATCATTTTACTCCTTTTCGTATCCTTGTTAATTCAACATGCGGCTTTCTCTTTTTTGTTTTGTGTTGATCCACAGCGATTTGACGGTTTTCCGTGCCATTTGGTAGCGTTGCCCTTTGCAGTTAACCCTCTAATAGCTAAAGCTTGTTATTTTTTTTTGTTTTTGGCTTTTTTTCCATTCTTTGCTGCATTCTAAATGCTGCTTAATTTCAGCGGTACATTCGAGTCACTTCGTTGGATTTCAACATATTCGTCGCTTGGTGCTCTCTTACTTCCTCTCTTCAAAGATTTGAAGCTGAAGTGTTTTCTTGCTAACTTTAATTTCAAATATCTGGTGACTTCACTTTTTTATTTGACTTAATAGCTAATTTGCTATTTGTGTTTTGACTTGAGAGACTAAGAATCGCATTTTTGTGTTCTTAAATTATTTATTTCTACGATCTTTAATGTTTTGCTTTATTGTTGCTTTAAAAAAGACTAAAGCTTATCGGAATATGCTGTGATTGTAAATGTTTGCGTTATATAATATATTAACATTATCATATTTTGGAATTTTTATTTAAACTAAATAAAATATTCGCATACACACAATACAAGTATTGAATAGAAAAAAAATTACAGAAGCACAAACGGATCTTTATCCTTGCGTCCAATATGTTCTGGAATAACTCCTTATCGAGATCATCAAAAGTCCGTTCAATCAGTAAATTCAGTAACAAATATTTACATTTAAATGTCTATTTTCTCGCTTTTCAAAGCAAACTGGAAGAAAAATCGATTCATAAACTAATTTTCGATTTTTTCTTAAGTTTTCTTTTCTTCTCTCCTAACTATATGAGTTTAACATGGATTAATACTCAATCAATATTTGTGTATTGCAAGAAATATTCTCATTATGAAAGAATAAGGTCTGACCCTAAGGATAACCAAAGCGCTGATAACTTTTTCATGATATTCACCCCGGGTCTTTTTTTCGAGGTATAGAACTTTAAGTTGGCGTTACTGTTCAAGATGGCGACTGATTTAACAGCTGTCAAGTGATTTATTCTCAATTTGGTTTGACAATTCATCATGAATAGACTCATGCCTGAACAACGCTTGTAAATAGTGCAATTTTATTTAGAAAATAATTTTTCTGTGCGGAATACGTATCGCGCACTATGTTTATTTTATCGTATGATGCGATGAAGCGCACTTCTGATTGAATGGCTACGTCAACAAACAAAACTGCCGCCTTTGGAGTGAAGCTAATCCTCAAGTGTATGTCGAAACACCGTTACATCCAGAAAAACTGACTGTTTGGTGCGATTTATGGGCTGGTGGAATCATTGGTTCGTA